TGGTTAAAGAAACAGGAATAAAATGGTGTAACACTAAAATATTAGCACAGGTAATATGAATAAGTCTACAAAATGATACAATCTCATCTCGATACATAATGTTGACTGAAAACATACTTTAAAGAGCATAAACAGTATACACCATTCATGTAAACAATTTTTTTTTGGTCTGTCGTGAGGCTTGAACTCAGGGCCTGGGCACTGTCCCTGAGCTTTTATGCTCAAGGCTAGTGCTCTACCACTTTAAACCACAGTGCCACTTCGCATTTTCTTATGGTTAACTGAAGATCAAAGTCTCATAGCCTTTCCTGCTTGGGCTAGCTTCGAACTGGGATCCTCAGATCTCAGTACCCTAAGTAGTGAGGATTACAGCTGTGAGCCACAGGCACCTGGCACACTTACAATCCTAGCTACTCTAGCAGCTGAGATCTGAGGAGGACCACTGTGGTTCGAAATCAGCCTGGGCAAGAAAGTCTATGAGACTCTTAACTCCAATAAACTACTTCAGAAAAAAAAGCCAGAAGTGCAGCTGTGGCTCAAGTGGTAGTGTGCCAGCTTTGAGCAAAAATGCTGAGGCACAGTGCCCAGGCCCTGAGTTCATGCCCCAGGACTGGCACACACATACACAAGATCTTAGAACACATTACATAGTGTCATGTGCATCTACATGTAGCAAGTATAAATAACACATGCAGAATGAAAACTGCAGACTTTAGAAAGAAGTCGTTCCTGAGGAAGGGCTGCACATGGCCTGCATTTCCTGGCGCGCTCTTACATGACTGTGTAAGTGCTGGGTGCCAAACCAGGCTCACACATCAGCACACACTACCCCTGAGCTAAATCACACCAACAAAATACCAACGTGTTAGATTATCTTTTTTTTTTTGGGTCCAGTCGTGGGGCCTGAACTCTGGGCCTGGGCGCTGTCCCTCAGCTCTTCAGCTCAAGGCTAGCGCTCTACCACTTAAGCCACAGCGCCACTTCTGGCTTTTTTATTTTTATTTTTTGCTTATGTGGTGCTGAGGAATTGAACCCAGGGCCTCAGGCATGCAAGGCAAGCGCTCTACCACTGAGCCACCTTCCCAGCCCGTGTTAGATTATCTTGAGGTGATTCTGAGTTTAAATAGATAATCCAAAATTACTGTGTAAAAGTGAAAACTGCAGAGATCACAGAGTGGGTTTATAAAATTTTAAGTGCTCTGAGTGTCTGAAGGATTGCTCTCACGTTCATCACAGCATACAGTTCCAACTGCAAGAGAAGAAATACACACAAGTGCTCAAAAAGTGGTCTTTTTGTAACCTCTGATTTGTCTTTGCTATGAAACAAAATGGTGGATTTCTGGGCTGGTGAGAATAGCTCACACTTGTAGTCCCAGCTGCTGGGGGGCTGAGAGCAGGACCAGCACCGTTCAAGGCCCCCGTTCCCCAGCACTTAGCTGGGCACAGAGGCACAGGCACCTGCCCCCTGCAGCACTGGGGGGTGGCACCGGGGGACTGTGGTCCGGCAGAAAAGCCGTGACTGCCGCTCGGCGGGAGAGTCTGGGTGCTGAGAGCTGTGACTGCCACTGTGGCAGGCGCGGAAGCAGGGCAGACTGTGGTCCAGGCGCCCCTGCTCACGATAACCGGAGCAGGAAAGAGCTGGAGGCATGGCTGGGCAAAGCACCCGCTGCCATACTGGCCACCACACAAAAAAGCAGTAATGACAAACAGGTTGTTTTCTTCAGATCCTAAACCCTCAAGCTATGTTTGGTGGAAAATCGCTGTGGTGACAATGGGAAGTGGTGATGTGGGGGGTGGGGTGGGATGGCAGGGGCAGGAGCGGGCGAAAGGAGCGAGCAGGACATGGAAGGCCCCAGAGCTGAACAGAGTCACAGCTCAGAGCCGCAGCCTCCCCAGCACCCTGGTGACCTCACTGAGCAGAACGCAAGGGAGCTGCCAGAGGAGGCTGCACCAGGGCCCAGCAAAGGAGGGGTGTGTGGGAGAGCCCAGGGCCGGCACCCTGGGGTGCACAGCCAGCCCTGCCCTCCGCCACGGCAGCTGTGGAGGCCGAGGCTCGTCCACAGGGATGCTCTCTAATCCTAGCAATCAGTTCGGTCCTGCAGCGTGGCAGCATGTGTCCCCTCAGGACGGAGCAGGCAGGCTGAGTCAGCAGGCCAGATGCAGGCCCACTGTGAGAGGCACAGGGCGGAGGCAAGCCCCACGTGGGAGCCGTGGATGTGGGGTGCTGGCCTTGAACGCCCGATCTTCCTGCCACAGTCTCCAAGTGTGTGCCACATGCCCAGCTCAGTCTGCTGATTGCAAAGTTCCAGTGGCTTTAATCATTTACTTCTTAGTTCCTTCCCCCAAGACCCCTCTCTCCCTGTCTCCTCTAGGTGACTGCCAATTTTCCTAGTATCAACCCAGGCTGCTATGAATTTACACCAGAATGAAGGAACCCACAGAACAGTGGATGTTGACTTGGAAAATCCCTTAAGACTCAACTATGTACACAAGCAGGAGAGATGCGAGGATGAGGAGCGGCGAGGATGAGGAGCGGCGGCCGCGCAGACGGCGGGGGCTCGAGTCAGAGGCCAGCTTGGCTGCTGCTTGATCAGTCTGCTCATGCTGCTGTGTCAGACATCAGGCCCTCTGTGTCTGAGTACGCAACAGAGGTGCTAAGCAAAAGAAACACCTGCACATTTAAAATGAAACTCTAAGCTTGAGAAAGGACATGCCCCAGTGGTGTCCCAATGGGCAGGAAGCACCGTGTAGGAGAGCACAACCAAGGCGCTACCCCACCGGCAGCCGAGGCCTAGCCGCCAGGGCCAGGGCTGCGCAGAGCTACACAGCCCTCTCCTCCGCCGGGCAGGGCCTGTGGAAAACCGCTTGAGTTATGAACTCAGATCGACGGCAAACGCTCATGGCCTCTAGGATTCATCATCTTCAATACTTTTCTCTGTAAGTACGGGATATGCAATAGCAAGCTCTACACACTCTGAAGAGACAGCTCTTCATCTAGGACCACAGGGAGCGAGCAGCTCGGGCCGAGGAGCCCGGGAGTGGCTGGGAGCTGAGCCCAGTGCTGGGGCCCGCAGTCTTACCCATGCCCTTCCTTCCCTGCCTTCGTTCTACGCAGTGCCCACGGGGCCCAGGTACACTGCTGCCTTCATTCTAGAACGCGGCACAGAAACGCAACAGGGATTAAGTATTTCTTGCACGGAAGCCATGACTCCGATTTGCCCCCTCTCCCTTCCCTTTCCTCCTCTTTACCACCCACTGAGGTAGAGGCCTAAAGAGGAGTGCCAGAGTGTTTGTTTTATTAACAGCTTAATTCTTTGCCCAAGAGATTGACCAATAAGTCAGTATTGCAAACCTGAAAAACGGAATCCATCTCTTAACAATGGATCCACATGGTGCTCCTCCTAGCGGCTTTACAGACCGCATTATTGTCCCTTGATAATGTGATCCCCAGATCACTTTGATTTTTTTTCTTTTTTTAGCTTAAGTCCTAAGGCGTGGATTCTCGGCCTAGGTGGAGCTGCCCTTTCAAGTGGTAGAGACTAGTGCTCTACCACTTGAGCTGTAGCTTCACAGCTGGCTTTATTTTATTTTGTCGGTCGTGGGGCCTGAACTCTGGGCCTGGGCGCTGTCCCTCAGCTCTTCAGCTCAAGGCTAGTTCCCTACCACTTGAGCCACAGCGCCATTTCCGGCTTTTTTCTGCTTATGTAGGGCTGCGGAATCAAACCCAGGGCCTCATGCATGCGAGGTAAGCTCTCTACAACTGAGTCACCTCCCCAGCCCCACAGCTGGCTTTTTGTTACTTATTGGAAACAAGAGTCTCACAGACTTTCCTGCCCAGGCTGGTTTCAAGCCTCGATCCTCAGATCTCAACCTCTGGAGTAGCTAGGGTGACAGTTTTGAGCCATTGGTACTTTAATTGCTTTTCATTTTTATTTAGGCTGTAATATCTGTTTGGAGCCATCAAGTCTCATTTCTAACACTGCTGTCTTATAAGTGAGAGAACTGTGCCTGAACGCCCATAAACCACTCAAAATCTACAGGGAGCCAGAACCCAGTGGCTCACTCCTGTAATCCCAGCTACCCAGAAGGTTGAAATCTGAGGATCATTGTTCAAAGCCAACTTGGGTAAACAAGTTTGTGAGACTCTTACCTACAACTAAACACCAAAACACCAAAAGTATAGCTGCTGCTCAAGTGACAAGAGTGCTAGGCTTGTGTGCTCAGGCCCCGAGTTCAAGCTCCAGGACTGACACAAAGAGAAGAAAAAAAACAGGCTCTGAATTTAAACCCCAGTATGCACATGCACGCATGCACACAAAATTAAGGGGGGGGAGGGAAGGGGACTTCCCATCTACTCCTTTAAAAAACAATTTGTGAGGGCTGGGAAGGTGGCTCAGTGGTAGAGCGCTTGCCTTGCATGCCTGAGGCCCTGGGTTCGATTCCTCAGCACCACATAAGCAAAAAGAAACAAGCCGGAAGTGGTGCTGTGGCTCAAGTGGTAGAGTGGTAGCCTTGAGCTGAAGAGCTGAGGGACAGCGCCCAGGCCCAGAGTTCAGGCCCCATGACCGGACCCCCCCAAAACAAACAAACAAAAAACAATTTGTGAAAGCTGACAGGTTATTAGGATCAGGACAGGGACAATTGGCCACAGAACCTACCACACCGAATACTACCCAGTTCCCAACCATGTCCACAAGAAAACTCACTTTCATCAAGTGTTAGCGATACCGGCAGGCCTGTTTTCACAGTATGTTTATTTTTCCACTCTGTGCACTACTCACGTGAAAATACTTCTGGAGCTATTTACTCTAACTGTATCACACGGAACACAAACCCGAGTCAACAGCAAAGGTTTCTGTTCTAGATACTCCAGAAGATGCATACAAAAGCCTCCAGCGTTTTGGAAAACCGATGCCCTTCTGTCCCCTCCCCCACCGGCTGCGCTCCCTGCACGAGAACGGTGCCGACAGCGGCAGCAGGCAGGGAGGCCACTCGCCTACCTCGTAGAACATGTAGAGAGACAGCAGGGTGAGGCCCAGGTTGTACAGCACCAGGACACCACGGCAGGAGAAGGGCTGCCGGTCCCTCATGTACTTTGGTCCCAGCCACACCATCAGTAAGTAAATGACAGAGCAGACGAGCGTGGGGATGTAGCTGTCCAGAAGGAACCAGCCTTTCACTCTGGTGTCTGCAAAGCAACAGAAGAAAAAATTTTCGTGAGTGGCTAATAGGACTGAAGCAAAACCAACCACATTTTCTGCAACACTCCAACCAAAGTCTGTCAGCTGCAGTACGCAGCTGGTACGCAGTACCAGGCAAGGGTAGGTGGCCCTGGCCCAAAGCACCCGCCCCGTCCCGCACTGTCCCGATGTTGGCAGAGCGGAGGAGGAGCAGGCCGGAGGCTCAGCACCTGCTGCATGGTGCAGAGTGAAGCTCCAACCTCCATTACTCATGGCCTTTGCTAAATAAAATAGCACAAAATAGGCTTTCCAAAAAACCTGAGAAAAAGAACAGAAGAGAGCCCCACTGGTGTCCTAGTCGGACGTGCAGAATTACACACACGTGCTGAAGCCCCTGGCCTGGCAGGGCAGCTGTACGCACACAAGACGTGGTACCTGCGCAGCACCTGTGCGGCTTAGCGACCCCATCTCTGGCTACAAAGGTGGTGTCCACTCCCAAGGCAGTGGGGTCCACAGGAGGAGGGCTGAGGTTAAACACAGCGAGCCCTGAGACGTGCTGGTGGTGGTGCCTGGTCACCCTGTGATCTAAGCTCATATTGAAAGCTGGGCACCGTCCCCACACAAATGTGCTTTTTCAACGGCCATACTCTGAAGTTGCCCTGCCCCAGCCGTGGGGCGTCTGGGTGACACCCACTGCTGACAGACAGGGCAGAACTGGCCAAGGTTCCTGCAGTACAAAGGCTTGGGCACATTGAGCCAGGTCAAAGGGCGGAGTGTTTCAACCCCAGGGGGAGTGCCAGCGGCCCTCAAAGAAGGTGCACCAGCGCCCTGCAGCCCTCTCTAACCACAGCTGACCCCGTTACACTGATCAAGTTCCTTTTCTTGTTTGTTTTTGCGACGGCCTCGGTTTAAACGCCCCTGTGGCTCCCCTTCCTGTCCTGGCTGGTATCTGGGCTACCTGAGGCAGCCTGGTATCTCATGCAGCAGGTTCAGAGGGAGAGCTCTGGAAATGGCTGGGTCTGATCTGGCCACCAGGAGGTGAGTAGCTCCACTCTGCCCCGCCCCACTCTGCCCACCATGATGCTGGGGGAACCAGGGGCCCAGGGACCATGGACTAGAGCCTCGGACACCTCCAAAACCACAAGCCAAAAGAAACCTTGCCTCCAAGTTGGTTTTCCTCAAGCATTTGATTCTCACAATGAACTCAAACACACTTTCTATGAGCTTGAAGAGGACATGGGCCTAATGCACTTTCTTTCTTTTTTTTTTTTTGGGTCCGGTTGTGGGCCTGAACTCTGGGCCTGGGCGCTGTCCCTCAGCTCTTCAGCTCAAGGCTAGCGCTCTACCACTTGAGCCACAGCGCCACTTCCGGCCTTTTTTCTTTTCTGCTTATGTGGTGCTGAGGAATCGAACCCAGGGCCTCAGGCATGCAAGGCAAGCGCTCTACCACTGAGCCACCTTCCCAGCCCCTGATGCACTTTCTAAAAGATTAAGAATACCAGGAGCTCGGGGCAGACATGGATCCCCGACACTACCCCAGGGCATGGGTATGACCTCGTGGGAAGGCCCAGGGTCAGAGCCCATGGCCACAGCAGCTGTCTTGAGCGCCAGGAGCCAGGGCTGGGCATGGATGGCAGAGCACCTGGCCACGCTCTGTTACCTACGTAGTTTCTAGAACCTCTTCAGGCAATATTTGTAAGTGGTGGGGCAGGATGGCAGGGGCAAAGCCAATATCACCTTACCTCGGGGACCCAGCCATGCCCTGAAATAGGTGCTCAGTGACGCATCAAAATTTTCCATTTTCAAACCTATTAAGAAAAGAAAAGACATTGATTAGTCCCTCCTCAAAATGCTTTTTATATAGCATTTTCCCATTAAAGAACAAGAACAAATTGTTTTCCAAGAATATGCAGCGGACAAGGTTAAATTCCTCACATGAAACCAAAGTTAATTCCCCCAAGGTTAATTCCGATGGACTAATTCTAACTTGAGGAGAAAAAGGCTGGGCCGGGGGACAGCACAGAATGTCTCAGACCCA